TTCGGTCCTTCTGCCTGTTCTGCTTCCCGCTCTGGCTCTGGTGAATTCTCACCCTCCCGCGCTTCTGACTGTACCCAGTGCATGTATAAACAAAACAAACAAACAAACAAACAAACAAACAAATAAAACATGCCTCTATAAAAAAAAAAAAAAAAAACTTTAAAAAAAAAAAAAAGATATAGAATAAGAATCAAGAAGTTTCATGACTTGTAGAAACTGAGAAGACATACAAGAAATGAGAGAGAGCAAAACTGAGTCATACCAGTTTTGGAGAACATACCAGGAAGGGTCGGGTGGGCTGGGACATGTGGACCCATATGTCCCACTGTCCACCAGTTTACAATGATGAAACATTAATTTGCTGCAATTTGCATTCCGAAGCATAACCTCCATATTCTAAGACTAGAGTCACTGCTCATTGATGTAACCAAATGAGTCTTATTAGCACAATATTCTAAATTAGCAATATGAGGTTTCACTGTAGTCAAACTTTGTGAGTGGAGCATAACTAAACAGTAATCAGTTTATAACCAGTACAGCTTTATTCTTCAGAGCAGAACTACAGTGTTTTTAGCCAGCACTGCCAGGTTCAAAAGCACATGCGAAGCTGCTATTTGGAAAATTCCTTAGAATTTATGTGTACAAAGGTGGGGAAGCTTGCTGTCCTGGCAAAAACACAGAGGAGCTGCAAGAGGGCCCATTAACAGAACCTTCTGCAGGTTCAAAGACTAACTACTAATCAAAAGGAATCTAAAAACTTAAATTTTATCAGCTTTTAAAAGATAATCAAGCACTATTCATCCAAACCTTTTCATTTCTCAAGGTCAATTTTAATTTGAAATTAATGACCAGCAGACAGTATTCATTAGCTAAGCATCATTTTACTAAATTACATTTTATATAATGCTTGTTTTCAGAAAGAAAGGTAAGGAAGTGAAAAGGGGCAAATATAGAATTCTTCAGGATAAGCTAACACTGTTGCATATCCATTTTGCCCATGAAGCCCTATATCAATATGTGTCAGAGTTTAGTAGCAAAATAAACCATCACTTTGTTTTTTCACTGTTTTTTAAACTTTCTTTTATTTATTTTTTTGATTGCATGCCTTTTTATTGAGATAACATTGGTTTACAACACTCTATATGATTTAGGGGTGTAGGTTGACACCTCAATTGTCACTTTTTTGAGGAAAGTTCATATTTCTTTAAAAAAAGCATAAATTAGGGAAATCTTTTGGTTATTTTCTCATTTTATCTTGGTTATTAGAAAGCTTGCATAGAAGTGGAATGTTTAAATATGCTCACTGTTTTAGTATAATTCAGCAGGACACTAGTTCGGAGGACATAGTAGTTAGGACCACACTTTGGAATCTGCCATCACTATTCAAATCCCTGGCTCTGTCACTTGACCAGTGTGTGAACCTTCCACAAAACACTTAATCCTCTGAGCTCTGTCTCCCCATCTCTTTACTGGAGATAAAAACAGTACTTAGCTCCTGTTACCTCTGAAGATTACATGTGATAATACATACAAAGTACTTACAAGTAAACCCACGTATCTAACTCACATTTATATCTGTGTGTTTGTTTTATTATCTTTATACTAGACAATTTCTTATTCCTTTTGTATGCAGGTAAAATAGCCAAATAAATAATAAATATTCACAGGGAATACCTGATTTTAAAACAACTAAACACTTTAGAGGTATAGTTTAATAAATGTAACTGCAGAGTTTAAATGTCTATGTGTTGAATTTCTGAACATTCTTTATATTATCTCTTTAAAATTCATTTATTGGTGGGCCTCCCCGGTGGCGCAGCGGTTGAGCGCTGGGTTGTGAAGCTGCCCGCAGCCTCTGCAGTGCAGGTTCGATCCCCGGCTGCTCCCTGGCCACTGGAGAAGGGTCCCGCATGGGCGCAGACCTCTCCTGCCGCCCGCTGCTCCCCTCAGCAGTGTACTTCGGCCCTACTGCCCGCTCTGCTCCCTGCTCTGACTCTGGTGAATTCTCTCACCCTCCCACGCTTCTGACTGTGCCCAGTGCTTGTATAAATAAATAATAAATAAATAAATAAATCTTTAAAAAAAAAAAAAAATTCATTTATTGGTGATTAGGTAAGTTAGAACAAAGACAAACAGAATGTCGAATTTGGCATGCCATAAAGTAATGCCTGGTGAAAAAGGTGAAAACTTCAGCAATTTCCCCTTATTGATAGAAACGGGAATCGATCTTACTAGTCACTCCCAGGGGTGCTATTTACAATGTGCCCTAAAGTTCTGATTCACTTCCCTTTGTTTCAACATAAATCTCATTCTTAGAGAGAATGGTTACTCCAAATAGAGAAAACTCTGATTTAAAAGGTAAAATTAGAGTGATCTGGAGATGAATATCTGAAGAAGATGCACTCATGCATCCAGCCTCAATAAATGTAAATGCTGCTGCACTTTGAATCAAAGATTAGCAAACATGAAACATGCATAAATATTTGTTAATTACAAAAGAAAATTCCTAGCAAAACAAAAATCAGTAGACAATCAATAGACATATTGATGATATGAAAACCAGCTCCTTTTCTAAAATGCAAACCCACATCAAATTATATTGGAATTAGGAGAAGGTTTGGGAAACTTTTAAAGTTTCATTTTAGGTCTGTTGTTAATTTCTTTAATTCAACAGTGTCAAGAACTAAAAATCCTAGCACTGTTATGTTACCTCTTTTCTCACAAGAATTCCAGCTGAAGAAAAAGGAGAGATGAAGATTTTAGAAATGGATCCTATCAAAGTCATCAAAACCAGAAACTATAGGCATATGCAAATTTTGCATGCCAGGTAATTATTCCAATATTAGCTATACTGTCAATCAGCTTCACCTGTCAAATACCCTGTTCTGTTATCCTATTAAAATCTTAACTCAGGATCCATTGCATTGAATGATACTGTGAGGTTAATTATTTTACTTGGAAGCTTATAAATATGATAAGTAATTGATTTTTAACCCACAGAGTTAAGTTTGTATCTCTCTTTAAAAAACCATCAAATCCTGAGCTCTGATTCATTTAATCCTAAAATAAAATAGCATGTTTATTTGGCCACGTTGGTTGTTGCCTTTTTCCTTATGTTTGTCATCATAACTGGGTTAACGGGTGTAAAGAATCTTTCCTTAATGCTCCTCCATTTGATTCAAAGTAAAAATAAAAATTACACTGAAAATATTCAATTATTCATGCAATGTATCTCTATAGAACATTAATCAATAGATAATTATGCCTGTCTAAATTTTATGAAAGATTCAGAATATTAAATCTAGAATTTCTTTTATTTGCAACTATATTTATTCTGATTTTCCTTGAACCACTATTTCACTCAACAAGTATTGTGCCTTCTGTGTGTCATTCTTTATTCAGAGGAGCAAAAAAATTCTTATTTTATAGAGTTTGTATCTAGTGGGTCTCAGCAAATATATGAAGAGATGAGGTTTCCTTCAACACCAGCCTAGTATGTCTATCTGCTGGAACCATTTCTAAAACCAAAAAAAAAAAAAAAAAGACTTTTTCTCTTTAGATAAATAACAAGGGGAGGATGGGGCAGTGGGAGATGAGGGAAGTGAGATGAAAAATGCATTCAAGACGTGAACCTTAGTGACCACGTTGATTGGGGACACCCATATACCAAACAAAAAAACAAAAAAAAATCCCTATAGAGTGATTTTTCAACAAGTCTTCATGGATTACTGAATATTTCGATTATTTCCGCCGATACCCTGGTAATCTTTACCCCAAGCCCAAGTGTCTGAAAGATTCTAGGGCTATGACTGTTCAGAGTGTCTTCACCATAGATGAGAAATAAATAGCCAGTAAGATGGTCAAGACTTAACATCTGGGTAATGCAAACTGCAATTTCTTGGCTAAGAAACTAATTTGTAGTCTGTTGTGGGAAGACATCTCACCTCTGTGTTTCTCTTTCAATATATTTAAAGAAACTTTTCTTCTGTACCACTTATACTCCCTGCCAGTGCTGATGTTCTGAAATGTGTATCGATATGATAATGACCCTCACTGATCAGGAAATGGGTCTAATGAAATGACTTATGCTATCAATCAAATTAGTCACTTGTTTGCGAGAACATTGATACACAGATAGACGAGAGGCAAGGATAGGGAAAATGTTAGTTATGCTGATAGCCCCCAAAATCAAATTAATAGATTGTGATCCTGATAACACACACTTTGAAAGTAATATAAATACAGGAACTGAATGAAGACAATCTGAAATGCTTTGGGGGTTTCTGAAGCCTTCTCCAGAGTGTACCCTCCCTGAGAGCAGATACCACAAGGGAATCTCCAGATGTGAGCAAAGCCAGCTTGTGTGTTTGTCTCTGGTTTGCATAACCTTTCTCTTTTCCTGCCAGTTGAATTGGATGCTTCTTTATTGTACCATGGATTTCCCCCAGTGAGTTATAATGTTATTATATGTGGTTGACTCCTATAAGATAGAAGTTAGCACACTGAGATCCAACCCACACATTACAAGTTCTATGATTCTTTTGAAATTAGATATTAAGATATGTAAGTCTAGAATCTATTCTACCCTTCTGAGTCACATGTTTAGTAATGTGTGAATTGTTGCATCAATTCAGGATCCTACTTTTTCTTCTGAAGCACATGGAGTATAAAAACCTTTTGAAAATTATTGTTTTCAAAGTACTATGACCATATACAGCTAGGCATAGCCAATTATATTTGCATTCTGAAACCATAAGTGTGTGTTTATAGATGCCACATGGCTTAAACTGTTAAGAAATATGATTTCTAATGTCATGTTTGTGAAAGAGCAGTATAAAAATTACCTCATGTTGGGCCTCCCCGGTGGCGCAGCGGTTGAGCGCTGGGTTGCGAAGCTGCCCGCGGCCTCTGTGGCGCCGGTTCGATCCCTGGCTGCTCCCCGGCCACCGGAGGAGGGTCCCACATGGCGCGCAGACCTCTCCTGCCGCCCGCTGCTCCCCTCAGCAGTGTACTTCGGTCCTTCTACCTGCTCTGCTCCCCGCTCTGGCTCTGGTGAATTCTCTCACCCTCCTGCGCTTCTGACTGTACCCAGTGCATGTATAAACAAAACAAACAAACAAACCAGCAAACAAATAAATAAAGCATGCCTCTATAAAAATAAAAAAAATTAAAAAAAAAATAAAAATTACCTCATGTGACATAGCTATTTCTTAACTTTTTGCTTTGCAAATAATAAAGGATTCAACTTATTTTTATAAGCCAAACTTTCAACTAACTAAAGACCCTCAGTGTATCATATTATTTTGCTCCAGTTATGAGATCTCTCAAATAAACACACACACATCCAAAGTACATTAAAAGCTAAACAAAACATTTCCATGAAGTGCCAGGAATCAGCTCACATTTAACTTCTACTCATTATGTCTATAAAAATACCAGGAAGATGGTGAAAAGTCATGTAAGGTTGTAGAAGATCCTCAACTACAAAACTGAAAAAAGTCAAATATAGTACATGTACTACACTCACTAGGTTAAAAAATGAACTGAAATGCACTATAAATTTTTCAGATGAAGTCAAAACCAAAAAAAAAATGTTTTATGACTAATACTCAATCAGAAAACTCAAGTAATACAACATCCAGCATAAAATTTAAAATATACAAAATGCATTTACACTTGCATATATTAATATTAAAGCACATGCAATTTAAAAAGGAAACATGGTGCTTGTTCAGAAGCACAAAACTTTCAACAGGAGCAGTTTACCTCCATAAAAACAATTCTAGTCAGATCCCTTATTGACACATTATCAACCAAAGAGCCCTCTTCTACATAATTGAGGGTTGTCAAGATCAAGTCATATTTTTTCAAAGCTCAGCCAAGAATAATTTTGAATAAGTTTTAAAAGGCCTTGGTGAAGTTCCATAGAATAGTCTATGAATTATTTAGCATTTGGACATGATCATGAATATATTTACTATCATATTTTCATGATCTCTTAAAAATATTTTCAAAACATCTTGAGAGGTCTCAAAAGTACCATTCGAATAAAGTTGTCATCCAAACTACAGTTCTGTGGGTGTGTGAATACTTCTTTTGAGACCAAGAGCCTCTCAGTCACAAGAAATATTTACCTGAGCAATGACGCCCAGAAGTCGGTGGGCACCTTATTTTCAATCAGCAATTTTTCTTGAAACAGTGTCACTGGACAGCCATGAAGCACAACCCCTTTGATAGATTCTGTCATGAAGATAGAGAACAGTTACCCCTCCAGGCAGAACACACTAAAGGACAATTTTGTGTAATGGTAGCAAACCCCAGATGGGAGGAGATATTTTTGCAATGACTCAACATGAGTGCAAACAAGAAAGACAGATTTGTTTCAAATGAGAAATAAATAACTGAGTATGATTTCATATTCCACTAAAATGCAATAAAAACTAAGATAACGTAGGCTGCCAGTCTGAGAGCATTTTAATTAAACAAATAAAATTAATTCTCTGTATAAGAAACATTGAAAGGTTTTTTGAATCAAATAGATAACTAGATCCATTTGAATCAAATAGATAACTATATCCATCCAGGATAACTATATCCTGCTCTTGTTGCTTACTGCAGTAAGCAAATAAAAGTTTCAACGCGTTATCTATCATTCAGGTATTGAATTTTCAAAAATATGAATCAGCCTCTCGTTTAAACAATAAATTTTAGACTTTCAGAACTTCACATCAGGTTTATGAGGAATGTTACATCTTCAGAAAGAATGACAAGCATTTTTGATACCTGAGGCTTATCTTAAATTTAAATAACATCTCACTTACATCTCCTCGAGCGTGGAAGGCAAGTTTTCAGCAACACATGTAGATTAACTGTTTAGTTGATGTCTCTAAAGGAAATTTTCAAGTAGTCTTTTTAAAAAAAATCTTTAGATTGCAAAAAATTTAAAATTTTACATCTCTCCCCTTAGCCTCATCCATCCTTATATTTATCTCTTGCAAAATCAGTTCTTCTTTTAACAAAATGCCCCTAAAATTTAAAACACAAAGGCATAAAACACAAAAATGGGGACATGAGGGGTCTCCGTGGTGGAGCAAGGGGTTAAGACACAACCTATGAAACAATCCGCAGCCACTACAGCACAAGGTCTATCCCCGGCCAGCCAGGGAGCAGCCCACATGGCGCAGCAGACCTCTCCTGACTCGCCCACTACTCCCCTCAGCAGTGTACTTCAGTCAGTCTGCCTGTTCTGCTTCCCCACTCTGTCTCTGGTGAATCCTCTCACCGTCCCCACCCCCCACACCTTGGGCCTTTACCCAGCTCTTGTATGCATAAATAAATAAACCTTTAAAAAAAGGGGGGGGGCATGAGTCATCTGCTGAACTGGGCTGATGTTAAGGTGGATGTGACTATAATAAAGGATGAAGCTGAGACAGACTATAGACTGAGGGAACTGCGACCTACCAAAGCAAGTCAAAAGATCCCAACAAGGTGTATAGCCACAGCAACCCTTATCTAAAGTTAGCCTTGGGCATCCCCTGGTGGTGCAGGCAGTTGAGCAAAGCACTGTGAAGCTGTCCGCAGCCTCTGCAGCGTGGGTTCGATCCTGGCTCACCGGCGAGGGTCTCACATGGCGTGGCAGACCTCTCTTGTCACGCCCACTGTTCCCCTCAGCAGTGTATTTCATCAATCTGCCTGTTCTGTTCCCCGTTATGTCTCTGATGAATTCTCTCACCCTCCCACCAATCTGGTCTGTACCCTGGTTCTTGCATAAATAAATAAATAAATCTTTAAAAATAAATAAATAAAGTTAAGCCTTATTTAAAGTTTCTAGAATTTTGTTGCAATTGCTGAATCTACATCTTTAAATTTTATGATTAAAAAAAGCAATGTTTGGGTCAGAAGCCACTTCTGGCTTCTTGTATGAAACTAGAAGTTGTCCCTTTAAATACCTACATAAGCACCCGAAGCAAGTGGCTGTGATGGACACAGCAGTGATTCAAGGAGAATTCTTGAGCCAATGCCAGGCTGAAGTATGGTTAACTCTTGAGTTAGCTCACATTCTCACATAGGTAGCAGGAGAGCAATTAAAGGAACAGATAATGGACAATCAATAATCCAGGGGCAGAATAAAAAAGATAGGATGCAGGGAGAGAGAAGTTTTTATTTATCAGAGTCTGGAGCTTGGAGCCTGGACTCCACAGTGAGACAAAATGGTGGAGAGAGGCTCTTGAAAAATGCAATCGCAGTTGTCAGCTGGTAGAGACAAAATGAAGGGTGCAAGGGAAACCCAGAAGAAATAAAGAATCCTATAAAGTAGAAGGAGCAGTGATAGTACTTTAATATTTTGCATCCTAACCCCATGCTGCTCTGTTTTTCTGTTTTAAGGCCACATGGCTATTTCAGCTTTCCTTGCCTTCTGCCTTGGAAAAAGGTAGGGGTGTGTGTGAGTGTGTGTGTGTGTGTGTGTGTGTGTGTGTGTGTGTGTGTACCTATTACCAGGGGGCGTGGAGGTTGTGATTCTGCACATAACACAACAGTGTGCAGAGTGTTGTTACCTAGAGAGAAGATTATGAGAGGAAAAAAGCTGGCCCAGAATAGAATCTTAAGCCAGAGATGACAAGCAACCACTTAGGATGGGCTTGTTGGACACAGTAAGGATTCCTGACCTACTCAACATTAACAAGGACAGAATCCCACAAAAGACTAGGATTTGCTGCCACCAACAGGAGGATGAGGCTGGCTCTGTGACATGTCAGCTGCATTAAAAAGGGAAAGGTGATCCCTGAAAACACGAAAATTCATGCACATGCTGATTTCATTCCACAAAGATGTCAAGATTAGGCAGGAAAAGTGAAACTCAGGAAGCCATTTGTCCCCAGAGCTCACGGACAACATGCCAGTATTTCCCAGAAACAGAAGCATTGTAGCATTTCCCATTCTCGCTGGGATTACTTTACTATGGAGCTATAAAGACCATTCATGTAATCAGTTCATTTCATTTACCAACCAGCACACCATCTGAAATACCATGTGTATTTGTATTAGAAAGGTTATCGATGGAGAAAAGCTCTTAAGGCAAAGTATAAATTCAAATTCTTTAGGCTGTGCTTGTTTTCAAGTTTCATCTACCATGTTGAGCTTTTTTTCCCTTTGCTTTTCTGTGAGACAGTATCAGAGTCAACAAATGGCTTGAACTCCCACTGAAAGTGAAAGGAAGCTCAGAAAACATCCTTAGCTGGAGATAAGAGATCGCCTTTGTCTGATACAAAAGTCATATACCTGTAGCACATTTATGCTTTCTATTGTGGGTTTTCTTTAACTCCCTCTTTTGCTCCACGAGCCTGCCTGTGGTTTAGCTTTAGTTCCGAAATCCCTTTTTTCTTGGCATTTTTTCAGTTGCTCATGATTCTCTGTAACTTACAAGGAGCATGATTGAACTCGAGGGAGTACAACCAGTTAGAGAAGTGGGAATAAACCATTGATGTTACATCACATTCTTATGTACGGATGCAGCAATCATGAGAAGCAACAATCAAGAGGTGTGTTTCCAGAAAAAAGGTTGTTACTTTTATTTATTCTCAAAGAGTATTCAATCCCTTGGAGGGGAATTTATCTTTGATGGATTAGAAAATACACAATTCTTTGGTTTTCTTTTGTCTTAGTTTACATTTTCTGCTATAGTTAGTGATTGATTAGATGTTAATAAAATATTTAAAAACTTTTCATGCGACTTATCAATTAAAGAGGCTGATCATCATGATATACATGTGTACATATGCATATGGATATATCATGTAAAATGTGTTTTACTATGGTTTCTTTGGATATAGTTGGTCTAACTATACATTGTGAAATGTATAGTGCTACATTTGAAGATTTAGCTTGACCACAGCAAAATTTGAAAATTATTTCTTAATCACTTTTTAACTTCTCCATCACCTAGTCATGTAGTGAGGAAATAATACCCTTTTTGATGCTGTAAAAAAAAAATTCCAGATAAATCCACTTTAAAAAACAATCATTTATAAGGACACATTTAAGAATTTATCTCTCTCTTTTCTCCCTGAGTTGTACATTTCCTCATTCCCCTTCCCTTGTAAATAAACCTTTTGTTAACCTTTAAAAAAAATAAAATGATTGGAATATAAGAAAAATAATTTATATATGTATATATAAATGATTTCAAGTCTGCTTTAGTTTTCTTTACCTTCAAAAGCTTATATTTTAACTATTTCAGGATCAGATTAAGAAACATGCAATCTCATATTGTTTGCTTGCATAATAGTGGTTAAGATATTTAAAGCCAATTCAAAAAACTAAAAATATGAGCATGTGTGGTAACAGAAAGTGGACATTTGTATCAAATGTGACTTGCTATCTCTGTACTTCTTCCTTGTCTTCCAATGAGTCAGAACTGCCGAGCGGATGAAATGACCACCTCCCATACCCTATTGGGCATGCACAGAGGAGGTTAACCCGCCTTCCCTTCTATCCCCCACAAGCCAATCTTGGTAATTTCATGGCCCTTAGTAATTATTTATCTGAAAATCAACGTGATATTTTTCAATGAAAGAAGTCCTTTGATTAAAAAAGAAAAGATGTTTGACAAGTATTCTTTTCCTACCACTTAATAAGATGTGGGTGGGTAGTAAACTCTAGAGCTGTGGAAGCCAAATTACATAATGGAACAAACCCAAGCTGTATTTTGTCAAGCACTTGAACCAACAGGCTTGCAATTTTTCTTTCCTGGACTTTATGTTCTATAAGATAAAAAATTCCAGTTAAGCTATTTTAGACTTCTGCTGTTTTTGTTTTTTTTTTAAGATTTATTTATTGGGCTTCCCCGGTGGTGCAGCTGTTGAGCGCTGGGTGGCGAAGCTGCCCGCAGCCTCTGTAACTCCGGTTCAATCCCCTGCCACAGGTGAGGGTCCCACATGGCGCGCAGACTTCTCCTGCCGCCCACTGCTCAAGGAGCGTACTTCATCAGTCTGCCTGCTCTGCTCCCCACTCTGGCTCTGGCTCTGATGAATTCTCTCACCCTCCCGGGCCTCTGACTGTACCCAGAACTTGTATAAATAAATAAATAAATAAATAAATAAATAAATAAATAAATAAATAAATAAATAAATAAATCTTAAAAAAAGATTTATTTATTTACACATACAAGAGCTGGGGTACAGGCCAAAGATACAGGGGGGTGAGCAACAGAGTGGGGAACAGAACAGGCAGATTGACCAAAA